GTGTGAATTGATCTCAGAGGATTCAACAATTTTAATTCAAAGAGTGAAAATTTGTTTTATATAGATTAAGTAAAATTTGTGGCATTTTTTATAGCCAAGAATAAAGACTAAGTTTATGTCACTGCCCTATCAACTACTGTTGGAATTTCATCTCTTTTTCTTCTCATCCCTAAAAAACTCATCTATCCCACTTTTAAATTCAACATGATTTCATAAATAATTTCCATGATTTTTACTTTGTTTTTGAAAGTTTCTGCGTGATATTTTGTTATGTTGTCTAGTGCTGCAATCCTTGTAGTCTTCGAACCCAGGTCTAGTCTTTATCAACTTACACTTATTCCAGACATCTTTTCAAGCATATGTTTATCTGTTTTATTCATTTTGATATTCATTTTTCTCAACCACATGTTTGACCACTTGTATGTAGACTATTTAACGTGTAGTCTCCTCTAAGTAAAAAACTAATTGGCTCTCTCTCATTCTTTTCCCGACCCTTGAGTCAGTCCAACAAAACTCATTTTTTGTTGCCCCCAAAAATTTTCCTCTCAAAAATTCTCCACGTCTTCGGTCCCAATTTCATCAACTACCAATGTTTGCTAGCATTTCTAAATGAGTAAAGTGTGTCCATCTTGAAAACCAAATCCAATTGAATCTTGATTAATAATTTTGTTGGGCCATGGTTTCTCAGAGAAGGTCCTCTTAAGATGTCACTGTGACTGGCCAAACATCACTGTGGGGGGTTGTAACCAATACAACCCCTTTGCCAATGTGTAAAGTACGCTCGCAATGTTCCTCTCTCAGTCTTGTGTTTCAAACTGACTCCAGAGGAGAAAGAAAATATATTTTTACTGTTCTGAATCAAGATCCTAACTTCTAAATATATCAGAATGAAAAATGCATTGCACCAAAATATCAATTTTCCAAGCCACATCATTACATGTAGCTTTGAAGTTTTTACAAGGGAATGTATAGGCTGCTATACAGAGCAGTTCTCCAAAGGAAATATCTCTGCGAACTGTGTCCCGAGTAGTCTGAAAAACACTTACTATGTGATTAAATGGTTTTGACTGCATTGGAAATTTAAAGGTGGAAAACCTTGCATTTCCCTTTTTTTCCCTACTGGTAACATTAGTTCTCATTTGATGGAATATTGCAAACTATTTTTTTCTTTTTTCATTCATTGAAAGCCATTTTGAATCTTGAAGTCATTTTATTTCACACTTTTGAATCAATTGTCTTGCAGTGGGTCCTAACAAAATGAATTCAAACTATTGAAAACTTTATTCAACTAGGTTTAATGCAAGCCATTCACCACAAATTTAACTGGGTTGATATACTTTGATCATAGTTGGATTAAATCATTTGATTACAACCTATTTGTAGTGGAATTGCACATGCTCAATGCAATGTATTTGAGGGGGGTTGAATAGTATTAGGATCAATTCAAACTAGTTAACATATGATTTAATGGGTTGAATTCAAACCAGTTGAAGTGAGATTGAATAGTTTGAATTAATCTTTTTAGGTTTTATGTCATTGTTAAATCTGGAAAATTCAATTAAACTTGTGGTATTACTCAGCTGTTGCTCAAAACTTATTTCATCCTTAATTTAATCCAAATTCATTGTGCAAATTTCATATTCTGTCAGGTGGGAATAAAATGGAGCTGCAGTTTTGGAGTAAATATCACATATTTCAACTATTCCCAGTCAAGAAACTCATTACCTCAGTGACTAAAAGCAAGAGTTAAATGAGGAATGAAAATCCAACCACTTGTTTTTCATATTTTTAACCCAGAAGTGGCAGACTGATAACTTTGAGCCCATTGTTCTCCTATCTAACTTTGCTGTTCTGATCAGCATTGGAATCATTTAAGAGGGGAAAGAAACTTCAACATTCTGGATTGATATTTATCAAAACACTTGATTATCATTTTTCAGAGTCTGCGTGGAATTTCATCCAATATGATCCTCTTTCCCAACCCTTTATTTTTTGAAATTTACACCTCTAGGATGAAGGAGATATTCCATCAGTTACAGCTTTCCTCAAGAATTCCAAATTTCTCAATGCATTTCTTTAGAAAGATTGGCTGTTTAAGCTGCTGAATTGAGATTCTTGTGAAGAGCATCGATTGGATTTCTGTCTCTACCAGTCTCTGAAAAACTAAACTTGATCAGTTTACAATGGCAACTGAAACAAGAAACCAATGATGTTCACAATTCAGTGGCATCAAAATCAACATAGGTATTGAGATTGTATACCCATGGGCCATGGGAAAAAAAATCTTGTCAAAATTTGGCAAAAGTTAAATTTTTCAGAAAATTACATCTGCAGCTTGCACACTTCAAATGTTTCCAATCCTATGCAAGGAGGGAGAAAAAGAGATATAGTGAAACCCCCAACAAGATGTTTCTTCACTATATAAAATGGGATAATATGTACCTACAAGATAGGCATACAAAAAAGCTTTTGAGATCCATTTTCCACTGGGAGCTTTATGATTTGAACCCATTTAGACTCAGCTCATTTGTAAAAAGCAATAACTCCAAGATGGTGTTACTGGAATTGATACATGATTTGAGTACCTTGGAGAAATTAGTAGTCCACCAATCCTTTGATTTTTGTGGAAATAAAACAGGGAATGGGTTCCTTATTCCTTATGGTTCAAAAAATGCTGAATGGATATTGGCTCTGTGAATCCTCTTGCAAGATTATGGCTTTGAATGATCCTGTTTTATGTGTGCATATACACAGTCATGTCTGAAGCAAATAGTTGAAGGTTCTTGTAAGTGGTGGTCAGGTATACTTGAGGACACACCTTATTCACTCTCAGTTGTGCAGCCCTCTTAGTGTCATGGTGAGGAGGTAAAAGAGTGTGAAGCGACTCGTGAGTGGTGTCTGTCTGGAGGTTCACTCTGTCCGCCGGAATGGGATCCTGGGCAGGGAAAATTTCTATGCTGTGCAGCTGGATACCAGATTCCCAGACCCGCTTGCTCGAGGCTGAGCCTTGTTGTTGTGGAGGTGGTTTATAAGTGGTCTTGTTCAGTCATCGTTCCTCCTCCTTGCCCCTCTGATGGGAAGCTCAAAGCTTCAATTCTCTTTTCCGCAGTCTCGCTTGTTGATGAAGATGTCCTCTTTTAAAGCCTTTCAAGGATGACGACATACAGCTGTAAACATCATGTGCGTGGATGAGATGGAAGTTTATATATGTATCGTATATCCAACTCTTTCGTTGTTAACTTACATATAGCCAGCGTTCCATTATCATTTCTCCTTGGGATCCAAGTCTAGGATTCCGTCATGGGTATATCTAACTTGCAGTCTGTAATATGTATTGATTTGAAAAGGGGCACACGCTCTTACACGATCCAAGTTTTTTTTTTTTTTCTAGTGTGGATACAATCGACACCGCGATTATCCATGAATGATGACGATTGCACCAAAGTGTGTAGACTTGTTAATTTGGACAGATATTTACTATCTGTGTTTTGTTGTAACAGAAGAGGATTCGTGAAATTCGCGTACAAGACCGTTTTAAGAGACAAGAATTCTGAATTCGTACATTCTCCTCCATCGAGAATAGGGGTCCGATTACAATCCTCCCCTCCCCCTTTTGTTCGGAATTCTCGAGGATTTTCAGCATGGTTCGGTTGGAGCAGTAGTAGTTGTTGCTCGGCAAGCTGTCAATACATGCATCGTAATCGTATATATCTCTGGTGGGGCTGTTGTTGTTACATAGATAGATTGTAGGCAGGGGAAAGAAACATCGAGGGTGTTGACGTTGTAGGGTGGCTCTGGAGATCAGGACTATGAGGACTTCCTCTTGATAGACAGTGTTCCGTTTTATAAACAAGTCTCTATGGATTTATGTATCCGAGTATGTATCAGAGAACCCGATTCGATTGATGTCCGAGTGTTTTAGTTACACACTGTGACTGATATGGGCCACACAACACCACTTCTTTGGTAACCAAGTGCAGTTGCCTCTGACACTACTGTGTTTCTGTTTCCTCAATATGCTAATATCGATTTACACGAATATATTAGATGGATCCAAATTCCAATATTGGTTCCTCTACCCTAATGAGGAATCAGGTGCGACTTCCATTACAGCGCACAGCTTCTTTTGGCCATGTTTGCCTTGAGTTGAAGAAGGGCGATTAAAAAAGGTAATAATAATACTGTAATCAAATGTTGGGTTGGTCAATCAACCAGTTTTTATTAATCTCTATCCTCAATCCTCATCTTCGGACTTAACATTTCGATCTCGTCCACGGGTCCCAAGAACCCAGCAGCGCTCGCCATAACAATATAATAATTAACATCTGTTTATTGATTTATGTAAAGTTACAACACCTTGTATATATTATTTTTTCTTCTTTCTGTTTTACAATTTCCCATCCAAAGCGACCATCGAGGACAGTGCCTTTTACAGTTCATGTACCTCGTTTTGTATTACCTTTTACCATCTTGTTAAAGTATTTTATTTAAATACACATCATCATCATCATCATCATCATCATCATCATCATCATTCATCAATCAAAATCTCAAATAAATACATATCTTTACAGTAAGCGGTATATGTACAACAGTAGTACTAGTAACACTTTATTTGTTGTAGATAAAATATGTAAATACTTATAGTATATGTGTTGTACGGCCAGTCTACTTGCCTTGTTTTTTTTTTTCCCTTGTTGTTGTTTTTTTTCTTTTTTCGTTCTTTTTTCAGCGTAACAACACTCCAAATTTAAATCCTTACACACGAAGACCCACACCCACTTCGAGTTGACTTGAACCGTAACAGAGACAGCCACCTAACACCTTACCCTATCTTCTCCCTCCCTCCCCCCCCTACTGGTGGTGTGGTATGCTCTAGACTCTTCTGTTATTGGTATGTAATAGTCTACACTCCATCCCTTCCTGCCCCTCGCTCTCTCCGTTAAACGGTTCGTTACAATTTGATTTTTTCCTTTTTTTTTTCTTTTTCAAATTTTTTCAGCTTCGAGTTCTTCTTCTCCTTCTTCCCTTCCAATCGATCCTCCCTCCGACCTCACTCGCATACAAAACAATAATATAAATATAAATAACACTGCTCGCTCTTCCTCCTCTTGTTCCCCATCCCCACTCCTCCTACTCCTTCTTCTCCTTCTTCCTCCTCGTCTCAGCCCCTTCAGCCTCAGCCCTTTCGGCCTCTGTTCCTTATCAGTACTTGACTACAACAAAGCTATCCGTACAACAATAGTCTCCTTGTTGTCTATTTCCGTCTCTCAACCAACACTCTCTGATCCAAGAGTCCCTTATTGTTAGCGACGCTTCTACCTCATCCTGTTATTGTTCCCTTGATCCCTCTCACTTCTCCTCCCCCCCTCATAACCCTCCGCGTCTCTTGCCTCGCTCGACTCGTCTAACAACAAACACTCCGCCTCTCACTCCCCCCCACCCCCCCAACTAATAAGTCCATCTACCGCTCAGCGTACATAAACAGTCCTCCCCAATAGCTGCCTCCTTCATCAGACTAATAAATAAGAGCATCGCTCTCCCTCTGAACATCCTCTCCTCCCACCTTTTGAAGCCCTCCCAAGAGAAATCAAAAAAGTCAACCCCATCAATCCCTCCATCTTATCTTTCCAACCATCCTCCTACTACCGGTGATTGATTCTTCATCACCCCAGTCCTGCAATGGCCCATTCCTCCAAGGAATCCCTTCTTGCTGCCAAACAAGATGTCAGTCTTCTCTCTCCCTCTCTCTCCCCCCTCCCTTCGCCCTTTGGCCATCGCTTCTGGGCCTCTAATCTCCACCATTGCCAATCATACTCACTCCTATCGATCTCTGCCTCGTTTCTCGGCGTTCTTTTCCCCCCCTTTGCCCCTTGTCCAAAGCTTTTGGCAGCCTACAGCTCCGTACACAATGCCCTCGGGAGGTTGATCAATCTCGTCCACAGCTCCGAACCACGCGCAGTAGCTGATGCTCTCGGCTCCGACTACGAGCAGCACCATGCCCAATCTCCCCCACAGGATCTCTATCCTCGGGGCTCTGCCGCCTCGCAAGCCGCCTACGGCTCACGCCCTCCGCAATACTCTGAACCCCAAAACTATGCCCACTCCCATCCGCCCTATCCTGCGCCTCCCCAGCCACAATCCTCCTCAAACCCGCGCACCTCTGCCCCTCCCGGGCCATCCTTCATGACCGTCACCCCCGGTGCCCCCCGCCAGCAGGCTCACCCTCCTGCCCAGGCTTCCAAAGCCCGCCATCGCAAGCCTCAGCATCCTGCAGTCACTCAATCTTATGCCTCCCAGCCGGCCCACCCACTCGAGACAGATGACGAGGATGACGATGAGGATGATCCGGAGGAGCCTGTCAGTGAGGAAGACCATCCCAATGGTACCGGCCCGTTTTATAATCCTCCTCGTCAGCCGACCACCATTCCCACCCCGCCGGGCTCAATCCCCGGTGGGAAGAAGAAAAGGGTCAAGCGCGAGCGTGATCCAAATGCTCCCAAGCGACCAGCGTCTGCCTAGTTGAGTCCCGATCCCTTCCCTCCTCCTTCTGGCCCTCAATGCTTCCTATGCAGCCTACTGACATTTGTACTACCGCACTCGTAGCATTCTATTCCAAAACGCTGTCAGACAAGAGATGCGTGCTGCAAACCCCACTGCAGATTATAAGGAACTTGCCAGGCAAATTGGCGATCGATGGAAAAACCTGAGTGAAGAGGCTAAACGGGTCCGTCTCCCGCTTACTCAATGTCTGTTACCCACACCCGCAAACTCGACTAACTCATCCCATCTGTCTTTGGTTTACCTCTTAGCCGTGGTCGGAAGCAGGGAAGTTAGCGATGAATTCCTGGAACATTCAAAATAAGGAATACAAGACCTCTCACCCAGAGATTACTTCGCCTCATCATCAAACGGGCGCCTGCCCCGCCCCCGTTCCACGTAAAAGAAGGTCCCGAGCGGCCGAGGTCGATGCGCAAGGCAACCCCTTACCCAAGAAGCGAGGCCGACCCAGCAAGGTTGAAAAGGATAGCCCGCCCGATCATCCTGTTCATCCTGTTCATCTTGGAGGGCAACCAGTACAACAACCCAATTCCGCCATGTCTCTCCAAACGATCAATGGGCACAGTGTGCCTCCAGCCCCTCAACCGCACATGGTTGTTGCTGCGCAACATGCCGTTCAACCACAGGTAAGCATGCCCTCCCAGCTCTAATGCTTTGTGCTACCACTTACCCAGTTGGCACTTACTCTGCAGCATCATGAGGAAGAATACTCGGAAGAAGGCGAAGAAGAGGAGGAAGTCGAAGAAGAGGAGGAGGAGGAAGAGGAGACTGCCAACCACTATCATAACCCCCAAGTCGCCGGGCAACCATCCTCAATGCCCCCTCCCCAGATGAACGGTCCCTCTCAAGTATCCCCTCAGATGGCCGCACATTCCGAGTCTGAGCTCGAGGACGGAGAGGAAGAAGAAGGAAGTGAGGCCCGGTCGCCCGAACCCAATCATCCGGTCAATAAGATGGCTGTCCAGCCAAACGGGATCTTGGCATGACCTCATCCCACTTCGACTAGCTTGTTCTCCATCACCGGCCGAACCACTCAAATAGGGGATCAAGCAATCCCTTGAAAAAGATCCCACGAACTAATACGAGCCCTTGCTGAAAACGGGAAGTCTAATGCCTGCCAAAATTACTGCTACACCACTCTTCAAATGGCGACACCCTTCGAAAATACAAAACAAAAAAACGACATCTTTTTACCTGTCCGATACGAGTCTGGCTCGCTCAGGGAACATCCCCAACTATCCTTCTTCCTCAATCTCAACCAAAAAAAACCACTCGGTCTAATTGTGTTCATATTCTCGGCAACCAACTAAAACCAAAACCAGTGCCAAAAAAGAATCATCTAAACTAGTCTTGGCTACTTTTTTGATCACCTATTCATCTTTATATAAAATCCCTTGTCTCTCCCGTTTTCTCCTTTTTTGTTTTCTCCAAAAAAAGTTTGAGCGGACTGTGTTTGTGCATTTTTTTCCCTTTCTTATGCTCATTAGTGATGTTAACCAAAATAAAAGCTTGTTTGTCTGCGTGTTCTATTGTCCTTTTGACTCTCTTGAGCTTGTGCCTGCAAGGGGTCTTGTTGAGTCTCTTGTTGAGAAGGCAGATGAGCGGTGATTTCGATGTTGGTGACTGAGGAGATATCTCTACACCGCGGGTGCAATTGAGGATTTCGGGTCCAGCCATGGGATGGCATTGTCCCAAGGCCGTCCCAGGTCCTAAAAAGACATCACAATAGCCTTGTTGTGAGGCTGTTGTGATGGTGGATCTCTGTTTTAAATGGATGCGGAACACACCTGGGACGTATTTTTGTGTGATGTCCCTAGGACACCCAAGTGCACCCGTGGTGTAGCGCTATTGCTCCAGTCGCTGGTCAGACTCTTTGTTGCTCGCATTCAACCTACATCAAAATCAGACAGATCCTTGTTCCCAGTCTTGTGAGCATCTCATTGAGCATCTACGTGGGCATTTTGACTAACCTTTGACGTCTGTCGCTTGGCAAGCGACATAGCCCAAGACATGACCCCCTCGATTCCTGTGCGCCTTTGCAGAGTACAGTTGCCAGTGGGTACACAGACAGAAAAATCAATATCTCTGCACACTGGACTCGAATTTGGTGATATGCTTCTTAACCACTGATCATTGATGGTCATCAGTTGACACTTCATTTTCCTGACACATCACCTTACAAACTACCAGTCTGGATGACGTAACAGTCAAACATTTACTCAAACATCACCGTCAAGTGCAGGTCGGAAATCAACACCTGCTGAGCAACTCAAACTTAGGGCCTGTACCATAAAACCCCAGTCAATTTTCATTTTCATTTTTGATCTTTTTTTTTTTTGCTAGCCAAAATTCATTTTGGGGTTGGCACTGAAAATCCAGCATATGAGCTGTGGGGAATTGGGTGTGCATGGTACATACAGTTTCGGACGGCATAGACCACCAACCCAGGATTTTTTGGATGTCCTATTTGGTGAGCCAAAAAAATCAGATTTTTTTTTCAGACTTTCAGGCTTTTTTTTTAGCCTTTGAAATGCTTGGAACATACTGTAGAGCATTCACTAATTCATACGGTAGATGCTACAGGCATGATAGAGGAGCCTACATGGTATAACCCCATGACTATATACATGGTTAAACCCCATAGTTATGGATTTGGGCATGTCCAAATACATGCATGCTGAAGAAAAAAAATCAAGACCCTCTGGTGCAGAGGCTTAGCGGTTACAATTCTGAGCTCTGCTCATGTGTACAAGTCCAAAACCACAATAAAATTGAGTGTCAGGGCATATGCCCCCCCCCCCCTGGGGATAGGCCCCGTGTGTCAATTTTGAATTTTTGTGGGGCGGGGCAGGGTCGGTTTATGCCGTCCAAAACTGTACACCATTTCCAGAAGGGTGAATTTCCAACTATTGGAAATCGACCTCAAAATTACTGATTATCTTTTCTATTTTTCCTTTCTTCATCATTCCTCCCAACGGTGGGCCAGCTACTGTTGGAATCAACTGGGTCAGAGTTTGAGGTTTGTGGAAGGATAATGCATTGCATTAGCTCAGAAAGAAACAAACATCAAAAGAGAAAAAAAAGAAAAAGGAAGAGAAAATGAGACATGAGATGACTACGTACCTGGGTCAGAGTTTGAGGTTTGTGGAAGGATGAGGAGAGAAATCCTTCCACGTACTCTGGCCCAGGTATACTGTGAATCTTGTGACAAGTGAGTGAAACTGAGATGAAAGGTGAGAAGCACACAAAAAAAAAGAAACTGAAAGACTACTCCAACAGCTACGCTAACTGTAGCGTAGCTGAAATACACTATTTTTAGTGTGGTGTTAACACAATTCCACAAATCTGCACTAACACTACACGTAGAGGGTGCAAAATTGCACTAACATGTAGTGTAGTGTGAGTGCAGATTTGTGGAATCGTGCTAACACTATGCACACAGGGCACAAATATATTTTCAGCAGTTTTTTGGCCTTTTTTGCCTCTAAAAGTGCTCTAGCATAGCGGCGCGCTAATGCTAAACCAAAAAATACCCACTGTTAGCGCCACTACAAAGTAGCACAGCAATGGCGGTGTTGTGCTAAAACTACACAAAAAAGGGCCACTTTTAGTGCTGTTCCACTAACACTAAGTAAGTGGCCCTCTCTCAAGCCTACTACCACCATTGTATTTATCCCTTATTTTTCCCACCAATAGTTAAGAAACTAAAAGAAATGATGTTTTTTTTTTATCTTTTTTTGTGCTGAAATGAAGGTTTCTCAACCCTGTCCTCATTTTCCCTGACCCAATTAATCATCTCAACCCCCCAAAAACATAAGGAAGTTATGGGTATGGATGTTTCTGTCAACTAACTCTACATAGTTGGGGGTAAATTGTTTATGCTTCTTTTTGATATCCCCACCTGTGAGGGGTAAAAAAGAAGCTCACGATTGAATTGAAACAATCTGTCCTGAGATCAGTAACATTTACCAATTGGGGTCTTGGAGAAAGTGGATATTGTTAGGTGGTCTCAGTTATGCATAACAGGTGTTTCCTTATTTATTGCATAAAGTAGTGATAGTGGCAAACTCGTCCGCAGTTGTAACATAGTTGAATAGTTATAAACCAGTCCTACATTGTTGTTTTCCGGTTCTCTAACCATTCTCATTGTTTCAACTCACAAACACTATTGCTCACATTTCGACTCACCTTTAGGTCCGTTTCTATTCTTCTCTCTTCACTTGATTCATGTTCTCATTTCCTTCTGCTCATCTTGTCAGGTTTGTCTCGTCGTGCTCTCGTTGTCACCGCTCTAAGAAGCTTGTGCCTAACTCGTGCATCCTCATCAAAGGTGTGCATTGGAATTCAACCATTCTCATTGTTTCAACTCACAAATGCTATTGCTCACATCTTGACTCACCTTTAGGTTTGTCTCGTTGTGCTCTCGTTGTCACCGCTGTAGTGTGCCAAATGTGTTTCAAGTACCAAATTGCATAAAGTCATGATCCACTCTTGATAATAGGCTAGATTCTTGGTGTTATTATTACTTAAATAGATTCTACAGGTCATTTAACCCATAGTCACTCACTGGAACCACTAGGCTAGCTCCACTCAGTCAAAAGTTATTTGGATAAATCAGTTTTTTGTTATTACAGCATAGTATAGTTGTCCTGGGTAGTACACAGTATAGATTTATATATAAGTGCATAGTTGTAATCTTTGTTTGTAGAGGCATATGTATGATCACATGTTTTAGTCACATGCATGATCACACGCTTGGATCACACATATTTTCACATGACATCACCAGCCACACGCTTGGATCACACGTATTTTCACAACATACCAGCAAAAATGCCTCAACATAGAAAGAATATTCCGCAACACGTGTGATTTTCTGTATGGGGCAGTGCAGATCACATGACACACGAGCAAAAATGCCTCAATAGAAGCTTCCAAGTAGCAAAAATCCCTCAAAGAAGAAGTCACACCAGCATAAATCCCTCACAGGACATCCTCACTAGCTAAAATCCCTCACAATTTACTATATAAGGAGGTCATTCCTCCCTCCTCAGATCAGTTCCGCATGCCAATCCGGCACATCTACCAAGCTACACAAACCTCACCCAGAGTCTTCAAGTCAAATCAAGGTAAAATCCAACAGTGTGATCTCAATCAGGTGGCCCCTCATCATCTTTCATACCTCAGGAAGCATATAAGAAGTCAAGTAGAAAGTATCACCCCTTGTGATCTCAACAAGTCAAAGTGATCTTAACCCATTTGTTCTCTTAACTGAAGGTTAAGGAGGAAGGCAAAGACACTTTGAATAGTTCATATTTATCATCAGTTTCCTCTCAGTCTTTTCCCATATCAACATTTACTTTACTTCACTCATATAAACATATAAAAACATACAAGAAATATCTCCCAGCTTTTCAAATCTTTCCATTATCTGATTCCAGCCTGCGGTAACCCACGCCAAATTCTTTCCAATCAAAATTCCACTAAGTCTCAGCTGATTTCACGTTGATCTAGGTTTGATAAGAGACTGCTACATATAGTTTTCTCCATCAACAGTTTTTGCCACAACAATAAAATAAATTTGTTGTCAGAATTCTAGTGTAGTACATTAGAGGGGCAGGTCTTTCAAACCACCCGTAACAGTTGTAATAAATTCATACATACCTGAAATATCATAACTGCTATTTCCCCCTCGCAGGACTGCCATCCATCCCAAAGGAGTTCTCACACCGCTCTAAGAATCTTGTGCCTAACTCATGCATCCTCATCAAAGGTTTGTCTTGTCGTGCTCTCGTTGTCACCGCTCTAAGAAGCTTGTGCCTAACTCGTGCATCCTCATCAAAGACTTTATTGTCTTATAGATATGCTATACAAGTGGTGTCAGTCAAGCTGCAGTAGCAAAATGGTTGGGATTATGGGACACAAAGATCAGGGTAGTTGGATGAACTGGTGGATGAAGATGAGTGAGGGGTGATGACAAGGGCAGCTAGCTGGTGGATTGCAATGGATATGAGAGTAGCTAGGTTTGGAAGTTTGGTAAAGACAGCACACTGACACACTACAGATGAAACAGGTAGCTTGATGGATTTGTGCAAGTATAGATGAAAAGGGTAGCTAGGTCGGACTTCCCATGGAGATGATGTAGCTAGATTCAATAGCAGCCCTCAAAACAGTGCTCCAAACATGTAGTGTTAGCATGCTGTTAGTGCCACTATGCTACACTGCACTACAGCACTGTTAGCGGCAAAACTGGACCAAAAACAGCCAATACACACTGTAATGCATTGTTGTGGGCCTTTTTGTGTGGCCCAAATGTGTAGTGTTAGCGCAGTTGTGGCATAATTCTGCTGTGATGGGCTAAAAATTAGCGTAATTCTGCTATGTTATGCTGTGCTAACGCTACTGTTCATAGTGGGCCCATCATTGCTAGAAATGATTGGGCCAGTTGGAAGGATCTGACTGATCCATTAGGATATTTGGGAAAATGGATAGTGCCAGTGTTTTGTGTAGAAGAAAAAGGTAGCAAATATGAAGGATGGGTGGGTTGAGATGAAAAAAGTAGATAAAAATCTATGTGTAGTGGACCTGTTAGTTTTGAAACTGAGAGTGAGACCAATCACATTAATTGTTAGGGACAAATTTTCTACCAGTCCAATTTCAGCACCTGCACAGGATAGCTCCAGTTTAATCATGTTCTTTGTTGAACTTTCAACTGATTCCAAAGAGAAATCAAAAGAGGAGAGGGAGAAAGAACAGTGAGGGAGATATCACTGGAATGGCTTGGGAGGCAAAAAAATGAAGGAAGAACTGATGTTTTTTTGATGCAAAGCTTAAAAATAGACAAAAACACACTTGCTAAAAGCAAAATCCAATATCCAAGCTGTAAAAAGCAAGAAAACATTTTCAGCAAAATTAGCATCTAAAAGCTCAATCACGAACCATGATTTTGAGATTGAGTCAAGGATATCAGCTACTCCTACAGGGAAACCAAAGTCAACAAGTGTGTGCTGCAACAATGGAAATCAATATACTTTCATGATAAAAACCAGTCTGCACAATCTCAATTATATCTTAACCATATTCCAGGATTTAGACAAGAAGAGCAAAGGATTCAGGGATGAGTGGAAAAGATAGCAAAATTCCAGCATTGTGCTTCTGGGCCCTGGGGGGGGGGGGTTGAGATATTCTCAACTCAAACAAAAATGATTCTTTGAAAACTGAAAAAATTGAGAAACAAAATTGGTCTGCTATGCTGCTGTTAATTTCCATTCTGAATGAGCTTGGTAGGTGGAGAATCTGCAGTCAAAATTGGGAGATCATGGTTCCAGAATGTCACAGTGACTGATGAATGACCAAATGGACACCTTTACCAAACCATCAAGGAGGCAATTAATTCCAAATTCTCATTCTTTATCATTCAACTAGTATTTGCCCCCAATTTTGGGGAGTTGATTTGCCCCCAATTTTGGGGAGTTGGACTTGGTGATCTCTCGATGACCTTTTGCCCCATTGGAGGGTGTTGCTTGAATTTTGATAGCCTTTTGCCCCTTTGGGGGGTGTTGCTTGAATTGGGCACCTGTCTCAGTCTAACGTTGGTGTCAACAAATTTGAATCAGAGGTCAACACTGGCATTAGATTGCATGGCACTTTGTTTGGCTCTCTGAGCCTATTCTTTTAGTTATATGTAGATTAAGATTCAATTACATCATTTAAGAGCTCTTATTTTTCTTTGTAAAAAAAATATCCAAGCTGTTAATTCCTTGATTTTGTTGAATATTCACTCCTTCAAGCCCATTTTACACCCTTCCACCAGGTCTCATGACTTTGAGTCTTTGAGTTCCCTTTGTGGAGCTCAAAACAAACAGCCATGAACATCTGGGAGGAGACTGTACATGCATGTTTCTGCCAAGAGTACATACCCATATGTGGTTACCATAACATTTTCTTGCATACATGTTCTTCTTTCTGCCAAGAGTACCATTACTGAACATTTACCAATCAGTTTCCAGTCACATTTTCTTTGGCACTGAATACCATAAAGTATTCTCAGCTTGACATTCTGCTGTTAATGTTTTAACCCAAGCTTTGTTTTCATCCTCATTTGTTTCCTCAACACTCATCACAATGTGGTCAGAGCTAAATGACTGGTGTCTACTTAACCCAACCCGGGCCACAGTGGGGCTGATTCATAATATCAGAAAATTTGGACTCAACCCAAGCCCCATTAAGGAGGATTCTAGCTTGGCTGATTTATCCTCTTGATTATGTGTTATTCGGGTGCCCACACTTTTGTCATCTTCCCTGAGATAAAAAAATTGCTTCCTCAAGACATAAGAGCTGTAAACGATGGGGAGATAGTACATGGCTATTTTGGCACATTGAGAATTTCTGAAAGAATAGAGATGACGAATTCCGTTTGTTTTTTTGGGGGCTTTAATTAGGGGTATATTTTGACTGAGCATTAATAGGACTCCCAGCCTACTTGGCTGAGTTTATCGACTTTGGCCAAGACTTCCGATTCCATCTGAGCCATGTAGGTACTCATAGCATCGACCAGTCTAGGGATTCCGGTGGACAGGATCCGGACGGCGAGAAGGGCAGCGTTTGTGGAATTGCCGATGGCGACGGTGGCGACGGGGATGCCTCGGGGCATCTGGACGATTGAATGTAGGGAGTCGACCCCATCGAGAGTCTTCCCCTTGACCGGCACGCCAATCACTGGTAAGGGTGTCAGGGCACTCACCATCCCTGGCAGATGGGCCGCTCCGCCAGCTCCCGCAATGATTACCTTCACCCCGCGACTGGCCGCAGACTGGGAAAATTCGACCATCCTTTCCGGTGTCCGGTGGGCCGAAACGATTGTCAGCTCGTGTGCGACCTGGAAGAGTGGATGTGAGAGTATTCGAGAAGCCTCAATCATCGTCGGAAGGTCCGAATCGGACCCCATGATGATCGAGACTAGCGGGTTCGGGTCCGAAAATCCACCTGATCTCGCAGCCGTTGGCGCGCTCTTGATGAGCCCTTCAAAATCCAAGTCATCAGTTTGGTTGACGGGTAGACATCGGACCACCTTCGAAACGATCTCCCGAACATCTGCATCGCTTTCTCCAATCACATTAATATGTCCCATCTTTCTGCCCCGTTGACAGCCGAATTTCCCATACGATTCGACGCTGACACCTTTGAGGCCGCTCACAAGCTCGAAACATTTTTTGACTTGTTTCTCGCCCTTCTCTCCGCTCTCATGACCCAGCACGTTGACCATCGCTGCCGAGGGTACTGCCAGTTCAAACGATTCCGTCGGTGGTAAGGGCTTGGATGTGATGGCCAGTAAATGGGCGGTGAATTGGGAGACGGCTGTTGAGGAGATCGTATGATGATAGGAGTTGTGAGGTCGCGGCGCAATTTCATTGACCAAGACGGTATCTGATAATTGCAAAGTGATGAGTGGGGGGAGGGGGTATTAGAGCGTCAGACATTCTACTTATATGACACAGAGACCATGAGGGCTGCTTACTATCGGGTAAAAGAAACATTTCAACAGCGAAGACGCCGACTGCGCCAGCTCCCAAGGCGGTTATGGACCGTTGGGCCACAGTTAAAGCAGATTTGGAGGCTGAGGGGCCGCCGAGACGTAAGGGACTGTGAACAGTATGGCAAATGTTGTCCTGATGGATAGTCTGGACGGGTGGGTAAACTCGAATGTTTGGGTCTGCTGAGCCAGGTGAAGGGATTCCTTTGACGACCATGACGGCGATCTCACAGGTGAAAGGGACAAAGCCTTCAGCATAAAGCTTCAGCTCAGATAGATCGTTTTTCGAATCGAAGGATGTTGGAGTCAATGCTCGGATCGCTCTGGGTATGTCTTCGGCGGTCTTGACAAGGAAATTGCCCCGACCGTCGTAGGCCAACAGTCGACTCTTCAACATCAATGGAAATCCCAATCTTCCCGCGACCAGTCGAACCTGTTCCTCGAGTTCTGATATCGAAGGACGTTGTTGGATCTCTTCAAAATCTGAGACTGGGATCCCGGCTTGACTCAAAAACAGCTTTTGTTTAAATTTATCCTGAATGATCTCGATTACTTCTGGGTGGGGATAGATCTTGATCGGATTGGTCTTCGAGCGACCTAACTGCTGATTTTTCAGGAGGGTCTTGAGAATGGATACGTTGACATGCTCGATCTCGATTGTCAGGATGTCGACCATTTGACTCAGTTTCTCGATATCCGCCACCGAATTGAAGCTCCCAATCTGGTGGTTCAAGTCCACAGGATGTTGGCTGTCGATCGAGCTTGGGTTGGAGACTTGTGAGGCCGGTGAATGCTCCTTGTCCAGGGTAATAATCGGAATCCCAAGACGAACGGCTGCCTGGACCATCATCCTACCCAATTGTCCCCCACCTGAAATCCGACGAATCATTTATTGGTAGCATTATTTTAAATTAATAAAAACCAAAAGTTGAGATTGACGTTAGTATCAGTAGCAAAGATAGTGTCAGGTCGAGAGCTCATATTTTGTCCGATCCAACTTAGAAACTGACCTAAAACACCAATTACTTGATCAGCCATCTTGGACCTCAAGGAAGTGTTGGATAGAGTCGAGAGGAAAGAGTCGGTCGGCAGAGGCTCCGAGATGGGGGTACGGATATGCGCTAGTGGGAAACCGTCGGGGGATTGGGCTCGGGACTGTGGCAAAAATGCACGGGCAGATGCCGGCCGACTTCCGGTTCGTCAACTGCGGCCAGCAATTCTGCTGTGAACGTCGAAGCCGAGGGAGATCCTGGCGAGGATGTCTGAAGAACCCACTTGGGTTGTTAACCTTTTATTTTTCTCATGTAAATAGTGCTTGTTTCTTTCTTCTTTCTCAGGCTGGTTGGCATGCACGGGTGCATTTCCCAATCGGATTTTTGTATGTTTTTTGTTGTTGTTGTTAATGACCAATCATGTGTTTCAGTGTGTTATTCACAACAAGTGTCATTTCACTATCACATTCACTGTGTGATTATTGTGCAATGAGTATCCTGGGGCTAGCTGGTGGATGTGCATAAGACATTGTTTTTTGCCAAAAAAATGACACAATGCCGTCTGGGTGACGGCTCAGAGACGCCACATTCCACAATCCTGCAGTGGGAATTTATTTGAAGAGACATCCCTGAAACACCTCCAGGACAGAAGTGGGATGAATTGTGGGGCCGTCACGGGGACGCTCCACGAGGATCTCCCAGAGATGGCCATTTATTTGTGGAGGAGCACGCCCCTGGGATGCTTCGGTATGTGGGGGCTGCTGTCCTGGGGCCGTCCCCCTGGACCCTGCCCCTGCGACGTCCAACTGCACTGGTGGTGTAGATGTTACCCTAAGAGTGAGTGGATAGGTTTGTATTATCTCTTACCTTACTGTGAAAGGTATCAGAAAATGCGGAGCATCAGTTTTTAAGGGGAAAGGGGAAAATTGAGTCTACCAAACATGAGATAAATGTATTGAAAGCATGACACAAAACATGTAATGAAACCCAGGAAATTTATAGTGTTATGGGATATCTGATCATAAAATATAGAAAAAAACCTGTGGATATACTCAGGTTGAAACATAACAACTGTGGCTATTGTTATTCTCTTTGATTTGTTTTGAATCAAGAAGCACCATTCTTTGAAGTTGAAGCTGGATCTGTAAAGAGGCTTCTGGGGGACCATGCATGGAGCTTTTCTTTCACATATTCCAACCAACTCATCTGTCTAGGAACAGAAATCTGGTTTCTTGTGACTGTACAGAGTGACTGGTGCCAGAACTGGAGAGCATGAAGTTCAGCTTGAGTGAACCTGGACATTGAAGAGGCCAATTCATCGTATTTTTTCACCTTTGATGAGTTTCTGAGTTCCATGAGTTGCATATATGTCATGAGATCCCAGCCCATTTCACACCAAAACAATTCATAGCCAATGTGGTAGTTATGGATCAGCTTCTTTCTCTTTGTGATTTGCTTGAGTGTATCAATTGAGAGTGGGAGATCCTCATTGGGTGAAAGAAGAACAAATTGGGAAAGTTTTCTCAGCCTTCTATGGTAATCAGCTCCATAATATTGATGGAGCCAAGCACGTTCAATTGATTCATTCCAAGGTAAAAGACTTCTTCGATCTGTCATAACAGTGAGAATTTGAGCAAATGCTTCATCCATTGACAAGGTTCTTTGACCACCATCTGATGCTAGATCAACTGAACCCAACTGAAGAGCGTCTCCGACCTTCACAACTGTTAACCTATCAAGTCCAAAAAGTCTGCAATGTTCTGCAAAGTTTAAGGGCCACCAATTCTTGGGATAGCTTGCATTTTCCAAGTAGGAATACAGATCCAAGTGTTTTTTTCTCTCAGAATCAGTGTAAATCGATCTCAATGCCAAATCATTGAAGGGGCTCAGATCCCCATTGGTCAGTCCCATATTGTTCACTTTTCCCTTTTTCAGAAGTGGGCCCCCAATGTCACAAGGATCATACGAGAGTCGAAGGTGCCTCTTGAAGCAGTGGAAATTTATGTAGTTCAGCATTTCATTCCACACGCTTCGATTAGTATATTGATCTGGACGAAAATCCCACAGGTTTCTGGCGATTCTATGATAGTAAAGCTGGTTGCGAAATGCATTTATTCTCCTAGTACCTTCAAATTCACCTACTATTTTGCGGATTTCGTTTTCTTCGCGAATCATCGTGGATGGAGAATTCTGCCAAATATATTTCAAGCGATTATAAGTAGATTCATTAGGCTCATACAAGATTGCTTTGTATGGCCTTTTGTCGTCTAAACTTATATTGTTTGAAACCGTCACAATCCACAAGATACTCAAGCCTGATTTGTTCCAATTAACTTGCTTCTCTGAAAATGATTTCAAGACATATTCTTTTTCAAGCTTTTCATATACCATGGGTTTACGATCTCTTGGCTCTAGTTTTTTCCCAAAGATGTCCTCCAGTCCGATCATGGCGCCTAGTTCAGCTTGACAAGATTTGGAAGGGAGTCCTTTTATTTTTGTGGTTCCAGTAGGTTTATTTAATTTGATGCTGTCTCCTTCCTTCAAAGGGTTCATGCAAATGCTGGATGCATCTGGCTTCATAAATGCTTGTTCATTGTTTCCAATAGATCCAGCAACCCTTTGTCCCGAACTAAACTTTGAACCCACTGGCACTGGTTGAACTTGAATGTTATCTGTTGGCAAAATGGACTTGCCAACAGGATATTTCCCAACCCTTTTTGATGCTATGTGGCCGTCTACTGATGTGGTGTTGGTAATGTGGGTGGAATCCAGCCAGATGATATACATCATGATCATTTGCCATGCTGCAGCGGAATTGAAACGTTTTCGGGAAGGCATTTTCAGGGAAGTAAGTGACAACATGAGTGGGGTCTTTTCAAGCAGCCTTGCCGTTGAACTTTTTGATCACTCCAGTGCCGTTGATCAGAAACTCCAGTAATTTGGTTCTTCCTCACCCATCATACCAATCCATTTTCAAAACAACCATGCGGGGCCTTTCAATGTTTGTGAAGCAAAGCCTGTGAGAAGCCTGTATTCATGTACATTTTTTCTTCTCTTGTAGTTGTATGTATGTACTAAACATCTCACAAGAAATCAAGGAAATCTAGGACAAATGTACCTGTAATCTGAAAAAAAAGTTCTGGATGGGAATGTGCATGACACAACATCTCGAACCAAATCCTCAGGCAACACAGAAAAAAAAAATTAGGTAAGTGTTATGATGAGCATGTTTCAAGCCAAAACACCACTTCAAGCAAAGTCACTAAGGGCTGGATGTCATGTTTGGCTTTGATGACTAGACAATCAAACCATGTATGCAACATGAATTAAACACCTGTTATGCCCTTTACATGCTATAAGATTACATAAGAAGTCATGACTAACCTGTAAGGGCTTAAATGAGTTTCATCCTCTTAATATATAATCATACTGCAAGTAAGACTAATAATAAACTACTTTGAAAAAAAAAGAAGAGATAAGAAATAAAGACAAAAGATGAAACCAAGCCTAATATTAACATCAAAGGATTCCATCACACTACTTATTCAAATACATATTACACATCACAAGGTTTTACACATGTGATATCAGACTCGTGTTTCTCCCTCATCCTTAAAAGTTAAGATTTTGAGAACTTGTTGGTCAAATAGGACAGTTCACATTTCCATTTTTTCACATAGCATTTTTTTTTCAAGTCGAGGACTTTTGGTTGAATTTACAGCACCCTGTAAAGCTACTTTTACAGGCTTGTGACACCATTTTGCCAGCAAAAAAAATAGCTTTACAGCCTGTAAATCTAGCCTTACAAGGCCTGTAAAACCTACGGGAAGTCCCCCAGTTAGCAGAGGAAAACAAGTTGATCCCAGATTTGAAATTAGCCTGCTGCCCCTGAGAGTTGTGACCAAGAGAGATTTGATGACAAGTTACACAGCCAAAAGTGTGGAATGTGAACCGGGCTTGTAACCTGGTCTGCCTGAACCTGAATCTCATGTCATTGGAGGTTTCTGTTTTCATATTGTCAAGACTTGCAAGACACAAGTCAGCATTGCAAGAACCTTGTGGAAACATGTGCAAAGGTAACTATTGACTCTGCATACCATACAAATACAAAAATCAAATAAAAAAGGAAGCACTTTTTTTTGTAACACATGCATGCACTTATTTAAAATACAGGATGTGTTTTTAAAATGGGTTATCTGGTGGTTTTTTGTATCCATGTGTGTGTATGTATGTGTGTATATCTGTATCAATTGAGTGGGGAACAAAACACCAAGACAAGTAAAATGAAAAACAGCACTAGAAGAAGGAAATAAAAGAGAGGAGAGAGAGAAAGCAAGTGAAAAAGCTTGAGACATCAATCCATCTGAATCAACAGTACTTGACCAATTTATCTTACTTTATATTTTATTTACAAGTTGAATGATGAATGACCCCAACAAAGATAAAATGGTTGCAGAAACACTTGAGTAGGGGACAACTATAATCAAAATGAATCTGGAGACTGAAGAAGTTGGATGAAGAAGACAACTGAGAAAGGTGAGTGTGTTTTTTTAGACAAGGGAATAGACGGGTGTGGAAGAGAGTGAGTGAGCGAGTGTATAAAGAAGCAGATCAAAACAAACAGAAGCCAACAAAGCAAGAACTGAAAGGATATGTAGCAAGGGTTGATGTGAGTGAGTGACTTGATGGACTGAGAAAGGAAATTGAGGATGAGTGGATAGAGAGCGAGAGGGATATATAATCCTAGATATCAAGGCTGAGATATGTATTGATGATATAAACGGGTATGGATGGGATGTGCATACATTTACACACATACACACTCCTATACAAGAAACAGGGAATCTGGATGGATGGATCAAGTCGCGACTATTTAGTGGAGCTGGAATTCCATCCGATCAGATAGTCAACAGGAAAGCAAAGAAGAAAAAGAAAAAACCCCTCCTGCTCTGCAAAGAAAAAAAAAAAAAAAAAGGAAAGCGACAAAAAGAAAAGAAAAAAAAGAGAGATGAGGAAAAAGGAGGAGAGAAAAAAGGGTAGGAAGAAAAAAAATAGGTTTATTTTAAGTTCAATTCGGATTCCATTAATCCGTGTACTCTGAGCCTATAAATGCAAGTATAATAAGGGTTACCATGGTTTGATTTGATTTTGAAGAGGATACCTTGTCTTAGGATAGGAGTTTGAACAGAGGGGCTATCGGTCGGTGGCTCGTTTTTCGACGAGGAAGACGATGATGGGACATCATGATCATCTTGGTTTTCGAATGAGGAGAGATAGTTAAATTGAGCAGGGACCTTGAAAGTCTGAATCCTGGAGGGAAGATTAGGATCATAGACGATATCCAGCAGCTTCGTGGAGTCCTCGATTGACCAGACCTCGATCTCTCTGGGCGCCGAGTCGAGCTCATAAGCCAAGGATTTCGAGACGTGTTCGATCGAGACCTCAGTCACCAGGATCTTCCGGGAGAGGTAGACGGCCAGGTGGCCTTGTTGTCCAGCAATCGGCCAACACTTGCCGAGTTCGACCTCCGGACTCAAGGCGGTGATTGGCCCCCGACCGCGGATGACCGATTCGGCACCGGTGATCAGACCGATGAATTTCTGGCTCCAGGTCTTGACAGAAATCTCGTAGGTCTTCGACGTCAGTTGTGGGATCACTCTTGCCCCTCCGCTGTAGAGCGCAAAGTCTCGCTTGCCGATTCCATCCTGCGAGTATCGCTCAATCGCTTCCTCGATCATCCCCTGTACGCTATCCAGTACTTCCCCACCAACAGAACCATCCAGGTTTCGTGTGCGTGAACGGGGCGCTTGCAGTTCTTGCCGGATCTTCTCTAGTTTCGAGTCTAGTTGCAGCTCGAATCCCATCCCCATCGTTTGCAATTCGCTCTCCAATAGCTTGCCGATCTCCGTCTTCGTCACGTATCCTTCCTGACCAATTTGCTTCAAGGTGGCCTTCAAAACTGCCTGCTTTAACTTCTCCGGATCGCCCGGTCCATCGCGGCCTTTGATTGACCATAGCTGTTCGATCATCACGCGGGCCTCCTCTCTGGTGACTGAGTTGGAATTCGAGTTATCCAACGACTCAATTCTTCCACCAAGGCCTTCGACGGTCTGCTTGATCTTCTCAAGTTGACCATGATCATGTCGATGTCCGATGATAACGCTCTCCAAATCGCTTCTCAAACCCTTCACGCCTTGATCAACCTTCCTCTGTACTTTATCTTCCAATCCACCTCGGACTTTCTCCTCCTCTTCTAATTTCAACTCCAATTTTCCCACCTTGTAGTCCAACTCTCTCTTGTCCCGAACCAGACTCTGTTGGAGGTTTTTCGAATCTTGTCGTTGTTCAACTGAGATCGTGCTGACAACAGATTCAAGACTCTTGAGTCTTTCGATCAGTTCGGCTAGGTTTTGGATTTCCGTCGTAGGCGCAGAAAATGTCGGCGACGTTCGCTTGGATGAGGAAAATAGAGAGAGTAACGGAATATTAAGATCGCCTGTCTTATACGAGTCTGTACATATCAAAATGCGGGCAGTGTGGATAAAAGAGCAGTGATGGGTCAGTAAGCTGAGAAACGCGTTTAGCCACAGCAGATGGTTGAAATTTAAAAGAAAAAAAACAGGTGAAACTGAACTGATCAAAAGGGCGAATGCGATGGAGCCCAACAACACAAGCCACGTAAAACGGTTCCAAAATTCAGCTCGGAAGAGGTGCGATAAGAGTGAGGTAAACTGTTTGCCCCATTTCGTGCCCAGACTTTCAGGAATGGAGTGAAACAACGAGGTGTCTGATTCTTTACGAAGCTCAGAATGGGTCTCTTCGACGATCGTTGAGATGGGGTTCTTTTGATGAGGGATGGGTAGTGGAAGGACCCTAGGTTTTTCGGGCCTGGAATGAGCAGTCTGGCGACTCGAGGCGATAATTTCTTCGATCTCTCTCATGCCAGAATCGCTCCGACGAGCATGTTCGTCGGAGCGAATCCGATCACGACTCGAGCCAGCCCAGCCGGAATTAGAGGACGACTCCTGTCGATGATAGTCAGAGGTTGAGCCATCACCAATCGAAGTCTCCGCCGCTAGCGGGCGCTGTTGGCGGGTTTTATCCCCAAGAGCTTTGACTATCCGTTCCTCCTCTGCAAAGTCGTAGCTGTCACCACTGAGCCTCAACGCCGAGCGACTACTCTCCGTGGTAGCTACAGTCATATCTTGATCGTTTGACTGATTGCGCTCACCTTCCTCGGGGGGCTGAGAGGCTTCAGGGTCGGAGAGAAAGAAGGTAGCTGATGGATGTTGATTTCTGGCATGCGGGGTGACATCGGTATCTAGATTCTGGTTAGTTGGTTTCTTTGGGCGGATAAATCCTCCTTCAGGAATATCATCGTCATTTGTATCTGACTGATCACCGATCCTCTGGTTGTTTAACGTGCCCTTCTTGCGCGACACGCCATTATTCCTGCGGTTAACATTATTAGACGTGTCCGACGCATCTGAGAGTACCAGAAATGAAATGACAATAAGCAAACATTGATAATTATTTATATTTAATGATATAAATATATATGTAGAAAAGCACATCAAGCAAACTTACTGCCTGGTTGGCTCTCCTTTGGAATTCTACGACCCCGTGTTGCTGCAATACCTGGACCGGTATCTAGGTCACTATCGGTCAGATCATCCGAGCCATTCGATCGACGTGAGGTGGTTCTCCTGCGTTTGGAGATTGCTCGCTTCTTGGAAGTACCTGTCTGAGCTTCAAGTTTCTCTTGTTCGAGACGAGCCTTTTTCTCTCGTCGGAGGCGTTTGTCAGCTATTCCCTCACCGGCCTCACTGTCACTCGTGGCAGAGTCGCCCGGTCGATACTTATAGCTGGGATCGATGGACCGACGACCCTTCTTGCGCTTTTTGTTTGTTTGGTGGGTTTGGTTGAGTTCACTGGTGGTATATTGATCATCCTGATTGTTTGAGGGGTTCAGATTTTGGCGATCATAAGAGGATTGAATATTTTCAGGACGGGTATGATTATTATTAGCACTCTGTTGAGTGGATTTCTGAGGTGGATTGTGATTTTTGTTCAAGCGCGAAGCCAACTGAGCACGTTCGAAGGCAGATGCAATGTTGACGGAGGTATCGTTGAGATGAGTTGAGTTAGGTTTGGGTACGATGACCTTGGGTGGTGGGACTTGAGTGGGCGCGTTGGCCGAACCGGTATTCTGTAGGCGTTGGTTGAGACGGGCGTAGCGTATCTGAGCAGGTTCAGATCCGGTCTTCTCGGAGGATACGCTGGCGACAGACATATCGTCAGGGTGTAGGGCAGTCTGACGGCCACGTGAGCTCCGACTGCGAGGACTGATTGAGTCGGTGGTGTCGACAGTTTGAGCAGAGTTGTATGATTTTTTGGGAGCAGGTTGTGGAGGTGAGCCCGCAGCACCGTAGGCGTAGCTGTATGGAACCGAGCTGAGGGTGATGGTTGATGCGCTCGGCCTGGGCAGGCGTGGGTTGATCTTTGCTGTTTGACCTAAGATGAGAGAGGCAGATGGGGGTAGTTGCTGGTTGCGATCAGATTGAGATTGCTGGGTTGAGTTAGTATTTTGGGGTTGTTGCTGCTGGTTATCAGCTGTACGATCTGACATGGAGCTTGATGGTTGAAGCTGTTGATCTTGCTGTTGGACCCTCTGGAGTGGATTGACGAGTTGTTTGGTGAATGCTTTGAATGATTTCCTTCTTGACTGAGGTGGTGTGTCGGTCGAGAACATCAGAAGACGGTTGGTTGGTTGGAGAAGAAGAAGAAGAAGGGGGACTGAGTGGGAGGGGGGACTGAAGTTGAAGGGTCACGAGGGAGTAGTAGAACCTAGATAAGCTGCTGTTGACCGTCTTTGGCAATTGTTGTCGATAAGTCGGAAGGAAGCCTACACGCAAAAGACAATGGGATTCTGGGTTTGTTGATGAGTTTCGAGGCAAACAAAAAGACAACAACAACAACAAAAACAACAAAAACAAAGACAACTGATCAAAGGAAACCAATCCACTGCGCATACATTCAAGCTTCCCACCAGAACAGACCCTCAACGAAAAGACCGATTTAAGAAGATCCCCCGGGATTAAGAAACGTCGAGAGCTGTATCACAGTACCTTCCACGACACACCGAATACTATCGAAACCACCACTGAAAGCATAGCACTCACCAACCTATCATATTCTTTGGCGGACTGCATAGGCTTGCTCCAGGGGATTCATCCTGCCTTCCCCCCCAGTCAAGCTATGTAAGGATTGCAATAAATATCAGAACTTTTGATGGAAAACGACCGATGAAATCAATCTACCAGGGATTCTATGACCAAGTGATTGGTGAAGAATAATCCAATCATGCCTTGTTTAAAAAGAAGAAAAAATGAAGAAAAAATGAGAGAAATACAAGATAGAAAGCAACTAGTATCATCACTCCAAAAGAAGATAATATTAATAACAATAAAAGTGAAGGGTAGTAAGATGAAGCCAAACATCTACAAGATTCATGATTCAGTCCAAACCAATCTAGACTAGTCAAACCAGGATAATGGAGAACTGCTTCATGTCAGTCATCCTGGGCCTACACATGAGCTTGATTTCTGGAGGTGCAGCTTGCAAGAGTTTGAATTCATTTCTGTCATCATAATACTGTGAGGATGAGTAGTGATTTGGTGGAGGCACATAGGGTAGGGTAGAGAATTGGGCCAGGCTGCCCATGGGCAGCCCATGTCCGCCTTGGGATAGGGGTGGGTTTGGGCCCTTTTGGGTTGCTTGGTAGCCCAAATGTGCCAGCCCAATAGGCTCTTGGGTGAGCCCAATAGGCCCCCTCCCTTTAGGCTTTAGCTGGCTGCTCCAGCTCAGCTGCTGTAAAGATTCTGCTTGTCCGGAGTCTTAACCACTCCGACTGCCAACTTCCAAGTCCTGCCATCTTTGAAGTGACTATTAACTAAACAATCATGTCAACTACCAATACTTCTGCTCCGACTCCAATTCAAACTCCAATCAACACCTGCAATGCAGGCCTATCTCAGCCAACTAATTCCGTTTCATCCAATAATCCAATCGCAACCGAACTTGGCCATCCAACCGAATTGAATACACCCACAACTGCCAAGAGGCGCCGGATGAAGAGTAATGTGTGGGAGCACTTCACAAAAGAAGGTGAGCCATTATTACTATTGTTTCACAAAATTATTGAGTTTTTTGATTGTTTCTTTTTATCCTTTAGGTACTGGGGATGAAGCAAAAGCAATATGTAAATACTGCAATGCAAACCTTTCTAGTCGTCGTAATGCTGGAACAAATCACCTCCGCCGCCATGTCAATGCCTGTATGCAAAACCTCGGATTAAAGCTTCCATCTGACAAGCGCGAATGGAAATTCTCACAAGAAGCCTCAAGAGAACTCCTTGCAAAAATGATCATCGTTCACGAGTATCCATTTCGAATGGTGGAACACAAAATTTTCCAGGAATTTGTTGGATCTTTCCAACCAGAGTTCAGGATGATCTGTGCAAACACGGTGCGCGACGATTGCATGAAGATTTACAATCAATACAGAAAGAATATCATTGAAGAAATATCGAAAATCCCACGTTTAGCCCTGACAACAGACTTATGGACATCGAACAATCAGACCGGGTACATGGTAATCACAGCACACTATATCAACACTGAGTGGGCACTTATCAAGCGAATCATCGGGTTTAAGCCGCTCCCTTCGCCTCACACTGGAACAGCGATATTGGAAAAGATCTCACAAACTTTGCTAGAATACAACACCCTCGAAAAATGCACCTTTGTCACCCTTGACAATGCATCAGCAAACAATCTTGCTATCAAACGACTCAAGACTTTTATCAATGAACGCCGCCCAGGGGGTCTCGATGCCAATGGGTCATACTTTCACCTACGATGTGCTGCTCATGTAATCAATCTAGTCGTTAAGGACGGTCTCCAATGCATTGTCTTGAGCATCAATAAACTTCGGAACTCCGTCAAGTATGTTTGAGGTACACCAGCTAGAAAGCTTGCATTTGAAGCAGCTGTCAGTTCATGCAGTATCACTTCGGAGAGAAATCCTGCACCTGATGTTTCAACACGATGGAACTCGACATTCTTAATGATAGACTCGTCACTTCCATTTAAGCCTGCTTTTGAAAACTTATCGATGACAGATTCAAGTTATGACTCCTGTCCCAATAGCGATGAATGGTCTGAATTGGGAACTATGCAAGATTTCCTAGGGGTTTTTCACAAAGGTGAGCTGTCAAAGTTTTCAAGACACCTTGCAAACAAACACCAATTTTTGACCAATATTACCATCTTCATAGCCACCGAGGATCTTTCTGGAACTCAGTATCCAACTGCAATACTTCTATACAGGACAATGACTAAGATTGAAACCCACATCAACCAAGCCCAAAACTCGGCCATCACATCCATCACAATCGTTGCTGGTTCAATGAAGGCAAAGTTCATGAAGTACTGGGGTCAAATGGAGTGCTTTGCATCCATTGCCGTTGTTTTCGATCCTCGCTACAAATTGGAATATCACCGATTCTATCTTTCTGTTGAGCTCAAGCTACCAAAATCTACTGTCGACTATCGCATTTCAAAGGTTAGGGATAACCTTTATGAATACTATTCAAAATATGCACCAAATACCAAACCAGCCAATAACCCGGAAAACGCTTCTACACAATCGGAGTCAAATCTTGCCGATGACAATGATGAAGATTCCAAATTCAAGCGATTCCTTGCCGGTACTAAGCAATCTACAAGTAATGCCTCACCAACTGCCCGAGCTCGATTTATATCTTCAAGAGCAAATGTCGAAGTCCCATGTCAGGCCAAACTCAACATCCTTGACTGGTGGAAAGAAACTATGGTTCGCTTTCCACACTTATCTCAGCTCGCTCAGACAATATTTAAGGCACAATTGATTCCGATGGCCTCAGAGTCCAGTTTCTCAACTGGGGGGTCGGTATTCTAGACGACTT